GTTTAGAGTTTAGGGTTTGGGGTCTGGGGTTTGGGGTTTGGGGTTTGGGGTTTAGGGTTTCGGGTTTGGGGTTTGGAGTTTAGGGCTTAGGGTGTCGTACCATACCCCTTTTTTCGGTACCTAATATAGGGGCCTCAAGAATTACGAATACTACTGTGGCGGTTCTTTATTCTCTTCATAGCCTACTATAGCCCCCGAAACCCTGTTCCAATGATTAAGGCCCCTTTATTAGTCTTATGGCAAGGACCTGCTATGTAGGAAAGAACGGGTCAGGGCATGGGAACGTTGAGAGGGCTTCTTACACCTAGGGCCTCCGAAGAATCACAGGCTTCACTCTTCAAGTACCGCCGAAGGCTGACCCCTAAACCTTAAACCCTAAACCCTAAACCCTTAAGAGGGGGAGGTACATTCAATTATATGGGGGATTCATCTGGGATGTGTATCTTTAGTGTCTCTGTCTAAGTTCTATTTCTGAACCTAGTGGTGTTGGGCTCTTTGCCGGTATCCACGGTTTTGCGTCATCACCAGTTCTTGGATATCAGACATTTTGGGAGCGTGACCCTAAACCCCAAACCCTGAACCCTGTTTGTTGGAGAGTAGGATCTTGGAAACGCGGCGCTCTACTCGACTCTACTTCCCTAAGGGTCCATGTGCTCAATTAGTATAATTATACATCGGCCCGAAAGTACCTACACAGGGACTACTTTAAGTCCAAAGTATATATTATTTGGGTACATGGACACTTAGGGCCAGGTATACTTAGATTAGACCTCAAACTCCAGAGCGCAGGCGGAGGAAAGCGAGGAAGGTGCCAACCTCAACTCTTGCGGATGGAGTCCTTCGATGTGGGCTTCAGGGTTTAGGGTTTAGGGTTTAGGGTTTAGGGTTTACGGTCTAGGGTTCACGGTGTTCCGGGTCTAGGTTCGATGCCCTAAACTCTGCAGCCTAAGCCCTTATAAACCCTAAACCCTAAGTGTCAGGGCGGAGATTTCGGGGTTTGAGGTTTTTCCCTAAACCCTAAACCCTAAACCCTAAACCCTAAACCCTAAACCGTTAGGGTTCGGGCCCTAGGTCTTGGGTTGTCGGTTTTGGGATCTGGGGCTTAGCCCTAGGCAGTTGGAGGCTCGGGGTTCTCGGGGTTTGGGTTAAGCGCTTCATTCAGGGTTTAGGGTGTAGACGGGTTTTGGTTTTAAGGTTTAGGGTTTAGGGTTTAGGGCTTTGGTGGTCGACAGTTCGGGTTTTCGAGGTAGGGGCCTGTGGGTTTTTTTTACTGCTCAAGCCTTTTGAATATATAAATATGCGAGATCTGATTACGTCAATGTTTGTCATTCGTCATTCCCGCAGTGCTTCTCTAGCAGACCCTTATGTATATATAGGTACACACGCACACACTTCTCGTTCGTCCCAGGATATTCACAGCACAGCATCTGACTATGATTCAACACACACACACAGACACACACACACACACACACTCTCTCTCTCTCTATATATATATATATATACAGACACAGACATACATGTATATCGACAATATATATATATATATATATGCAAGACATACATAACAGTGTGTGCATATATATATATATTCATAGTAAGCAAATAATACTATATATATATATATATATATATATACATCTGTTCAAAATCTGCACGAAGGTACAATCCGAGGGCTGGGTGCTTAGAGGTTCAGGCCGCCGCTTTTGGGGGTGTGGGTGCATGCTTAAAAGGGTTTAACTGGTTTATTGGGATTTAGGAGTTATATAGTTTATTGGTTTAGGAGTTGTGGGTTGTGGTTTGTTGGTTCAGGATGGTCTTGAAGCTTTTTAAACCCTAAACCCCAGATGAAGTTCCACAACGGCTTCCGGTCCGTGGGAAAGCTGCACGAGTAGATAACCTAAGCCGCAAAGTCCTGAACCCTAAACCCGTCCTCTTAAACACCACTGGGTTTCCGGTTGAGGGTTTAGGGTTACTTCTGGGACATTTTCAGGTGGGCAGTTACCGTGATAGGAGCCTTATAGAAGGTCTATATACCTTATGGAAGCCTTATAGAAGCCCTATACACCCTAAACTTTCCACCTGTAGTTTCTTTAGTGACTACTACACCCCAGACCGTGAAGCCGAAGCCAAACCTGCATTGAACAGCGACAGGCTCAGCGGCAGGGCTCAAGTATACAAGCATTCCGAAGTCCATGGATGTGCACTGAGTTTAGCATCTCCGATTTTTGGCAGCCATGTATGGTTACCAGCTCATACACAAGGCCGGACGGAGGTGCTGCTGGCTTCGTCGCGTATGATTATTCTCCTATCCTTCGGTTAGAATTAGACAGAGTTCAAGGGCTTTGGGTTTTGGCTTAGGGGTTCTGGATTAAGGAGTTGCTGGCTTTCGGCTTCGGCTGCCACTGATGATGCCGCAACTATATGACCGTGTGCTGCTGAAGTATACGACTACGACTCCGACGACGACGACGACTACTACCGCTACTGCTACTGCTACTTTATTTACACTTTTCCTTTCGATGCTAGTATCACAACTGGAAGTCGTCTGCTTGCCGCTGCCGCATGTGCCGTTACTCTTGTTGCTGCGGCGATGACGACACCATGAATCCTAAAAGCTTCATGCAAGCCCTCAACCCTGAGCGGCGCGAACTAAAAAAAGGCGAAACACTAAAGCCATAAACCCTAAACCCTAAACCCTAAACCCTAAACCCTAAACCCTAAAACCCTAAACCGTGGGCCCTTGTTCGCCCTCAGAGGCCAAGACCCTCAAAGAACCCCTAACCTCAAAAAAACAAATCTTAACGTCTAGAAGACTTAGACCTGAAAGCGTAGACGCTAAAAACACACAAAAGCCCTAACCGCGAAGCACATAAGCCTTTAACCACTGAAAGCTTTTGTCCCTAAACCCTAAACCCGCAAAGCCCTAAACACCAAACTCGCATCCCTCCCAAAATAGTGCGACACCAAAGGACCCCAAAAGCGATCCTACTTCAGAGAACTAGCCAAATTGAACCCTTATAGACACCCTTTAGAAACCCTTGTTGATCCCTCATCCCTCTGTAAGGAGCACCAAAAGGGACCGCCTCAGCCCTAAACCCTAAACACCAAATCGAAGCTGGCCCTCCGCACGCACAGGAATTACCCTTCCTGGGGCGATTCAGTCCCATGGCCTCTGATGTGCTGGGGGAGGATCGCAGTTTAGGGTCTTGTAAGGTTTAGGGGTTTAGGGCTTAGGGGTTTAGGGTTTAGGGGTTTAGGGCTTAGGGGTGTAGGGCTTTGGGGTTTTGGGGTTTAGGGTTCTGGGGTTTAGGTTTTAGGTTTTAGGGTTTTTGGAGGATCAGGAGATGTATTACTGATGTAAATGATATGGTCTAAACCCTAAACCCTAAACCCTAAACCCTAAACTCTAAACCCTAAACCCTAATCACGGCTCTACAGGTTGAGTAGTGAGCAAGTTAGTTTTTGCTCAGAGTTCAACACAAGGGTTCTATAATTCTGGACCCACAAAGCACATAAGAATAAGCTTTTTATAGTGATATCCCTACCTTATTGGGCTTCATTATAAGGGGCTTTATATGGGATATCCGGATCCCAATTTAAATCCCACAATTGAGGAATATGCTTCAAACCAATACTAGGGATCCTGCTATACTTCCCCAGACCACCGCAAGGGTCCTAAAGTCTAGAACCCCCTACTTGGCGCCGTATGCTACTGAAGGGTACTTTACAGAAACGGGGATCTACTTTTTGGATCCTTCCGGAGGTCTGGGATTAAGGTATATATTCCATTATATTATATTCCTTACCCTAACGCCAAACCCCTAAACCCTGAGATTTTGGAAGGTCCGGCCACGCCAGCCTCACTGGTTCGTCTTAGAACGGAGAACTTCTGCCCAACAAAAACATCAGACCTGCCACAAAGGCTACCTCTTTCCTGCTGCGGCCTTTTTGGGCTTCGTCGTGTTAGAGGCCCATCCGGCACACAAGAGAGGAGCAAACTTTGATGGAGTTTGAGTAAGGTTTATGGGATCTTGTGGCGTTTTCGGGTTAGGGGCGAGGGTTAGGGGAATGGATGCAGGTGAAGCTCAGGGTTTAGGGTCTCGGTTGAATTGAGGTATGGGGGCGGGAGGAGGGTGGGGGAATTCCAACTCACAATGCTCAAACCCCCAACCGCACCTGTGAGTGTGTGTGTGTGTGGGTGCGGTTTCGACGGAGACTTCGGTTTGGGACAGTATAGGGGAATGTTCGAAATATGCTATGCATTCTAGAAGCTATTTACTTGTAGTACATTATTTCCCTCTGCAGTCTTCTAACTTCTCCGGCTCCATGTGATGCGGTTTCTTCTGAAGTTCTGTAGGCTCGGGTGCGCATGGAAGTGTCTACAGGTGCTTTAAAAGGCATACGCACGCATACTCTTCTGCATCGCCTTCATGTCTACACATACACTTGCAGCTAGAAAGGACAGAGGGAGAGAAGTGGTGGTAAACCTCCCTAAACCCTAATCCCCAAACCCTAAACTCTATAAACATAAGCCATGAGAAGCATTAGCTTGATACGATGTTCGTCCCGATAATTTGGGTAGCTTGCATTGACACAGGGCTCTGCAACTATCTATCTATCTATCTATCTATCTATCTATCTGCCTATCTATCTACCTACCTATCCATCGATCTGTCTACCTGTATCTATCTGTCTCTCTCTCTCTCTCTATATATATATATATATATGTCTTGATATTATGGGCTCCCACGAAGCACGAACTACAAACACGACAAGGCTTTAGATTTGATCTTTCCGGGGTCTGGCTACTGAAGAAGGGAGCGAACCAACCAAGACACTGATCCGGATTTCGGGTCTAGGGTTGAGGATTCCGGGCTCTAGGGTTCAGGATTTAGGGCTCTAGGGTTCAGGATTTAGGGTTTAGGGTTCCTTAACCTCTGAAGCCCGAGCCTTGCAAATCCGAAGCCTTATACCACAAATCCCACACACACCCTAAACTAAACCCTAACCTCAACCCCTAAACCCCTAAACCCCTGAACACCTAAACCCCTAAACCCCTAAACCCCTAAACCCTAAACCCTCAAGCCCTAACCCTTAACTGAACCCTAAACTCTACAGGCCCTAAGCCCTACACCCCAAATCCTTCACGCCCCGAACTCCGAGCAACCAACCCCGACTTTCACCTACCAGAACCCACCGTGTTTTGTTGTAGGTTCTTATTGTGCACCCTTATAGATACATAACTTTTATATATATATATATATATACATAGAGAGAGAGAGAGGGCGGGAGAGAGAGAGAGAGAGAGTGAGAGTGAGAGCCTTTAAAGGGAGCCTAGGATTGAAAGTGGTCGTGGTAGGCTAATGTGCGCCCCAAAACCCTAAACCCCCTGAACTCCGAACTCTTTGCCGGAAGCCGAGGTCATCGTCCTGCAAGCTACGGGGCACTTTGCTTCTCAGCCGGCATCGCTGAGAATGTCAAACCCTAGGGGTCCAACTGTTCACGGAGTGCCTATCTAGACCTAAACCCTAAACTCTAAACCCCATCTAAACCCTAAACTCTAAACTAAACCCTGAACCCTAAACCCCATCTAAACTCTAAACTAAACCCTAAACCCTAAACCCCATCTAAACTCTAAACTCTAAACGAAACCCTAAACCCTAAACCCCATCTAAACCCCAAAGAACCCCACCGTTTAGGGATCCTTTTTCCTTATCTCAGCCCTTTCGCGGAGGGGGGGGGGGGTTCAGGTAGTCCTTGAGCTAAACAATACTTTCGCTGGATAGCATTTCGTTTTTTGGCAGG